CCAACACCCCCTCTCCCCACAAAAAACCCCCAACGGGAGCAACTGTGTTTGGGGGGGGGGGGGGGGAGGGAAGAATAAAAAAAGTCTTGCATGCCTGAAAAGATCTGCATTCTTGCAAAACAGATAGGACACTCATGGGGGCCAATGTGGAGCGGGTAGCAGGACGTGGGGAGAACTCAGCCTAGGAAAACATTCATTTGTCGGTGAATCGAGCGGCTGCCTCTGGATGCCCAGGAAGGCGCCTGGTAAGAGCGGGCGCATTGCTTGCCAGAGGATGCACAAGACCCTGCATTGCCAGCAAAGCCAACCCCTGTGGCAGGGAGACCTGATGCACATAAAGTGGGGAGGGTAAAGTGGAGCAAGGCCCTGGCAGGTCCGGGTCGCCTCTGCTCCCGGGAGAAGCAGGCATGCTAATGCAAGCGGATCAGCACAGAGTAAACATTCAGCACTGGAAACAGTCTGTCCTGTTCTCCTCCCTCTGCTTTGCCCTCGGTGCCAGACACAGGGGAGCTGGGCTCTCTGTGGGACAGCGCCCTTGGCATGCAAGGGATGCCCTTCGGAGAGCCTCAGGCTGCCCTTGGCGATGCCCATTTTGGGCAGAAGGGCTCAGCTCTGCTTCTTACTCCAAGTCACCTTCACCCCTACACCTCCTCCCTCCCAAGCCCAGAAACACGCCCCTCTCCCAGCTCCAGCTCCCATCACCAACTCGTGGGCAGCTGGTGGAGCACACATGGCACGGGCCTGGCTTGTGAGGCTACATGACTTGCCCTGACGCTGCCCCTTGCTGTCACCACAGCGGAGCACTCCTGCCGGGGGGATTTTGGGGACAAAGTGAAATTGCACCCAAGCACGCAGTTTGGTGGCTGCATTGTTTCCGGAGCCCAGAAAAGGCAGGCACCTGATGATACAAAGACCTAGTTGCTCACCCAGTCCTGTTACCCCAGCACGGGTGGATGAAGGACTTGGAAAAAGGGGTGTAGCGTGTGATGAGGGGCATCATCACCTATAAAACAATGCCGATTTTTCTCCAGTTTAAGAAGCTTGACTAGTATGCTAGGCACCCAGGGTTGGATGATTTAGTTTAGGGTCAAAGCAAAAAAAAATAAAAAATAAAACTTCGTTGGAATGAGTTAAAAACAACTGGCAGGGCTGTGAAATAGGAGCTCTGTGACCAGGAGCAGCCAGCAGCCTGGCAGAAGGAAGGTGAGCTTGATTGGTGGAACATCAAGACCATTAAAAGAAGAGAGGGTCATTAACACCCATGTCATGAAGAGTTTAGAAGGGTTCAGGCAGATGATAATGAGCCACAACATCAATGGACTGCTGCCAGCCTAGAAATGCTGCTGCCACGGCCAGGCAGCTCATTTCAAACTTTGGGTGCAGAAAGGATTAAGGGTGGGTACGAGTGCATCTGTGCACCCCCCTGGATCTGCCCCTGTCCTCTGGTGCATTCAATTTGGCATCTCAGGGACAAACAAATGGTCAAAGCTGACAAGCTACTGTGATTAATCTGATGCCCATTCACAGGACAAACGTTTTCCATAGCAAAGCAAAGCATCACAGCAGATATGTGTGCACCACGCACACCAGCGAGACCCTGGGCCCTGAAGGGCTCACCCAACTTACAAGATGCATGATGTAGAGTTAGGGACTTGCCTGCTTCCCATCGGAGCAGCAAGCTTCCCGGGACTTCTGGACTGTGCATCACGGTCACAGCAGCCAAAAATAAACACAGCTGGGATGATGTTCTGGAGGACTTGCGTTTCTTGCCTGTTCCATGAAAAAGACCAAATTTTTCCAAATATTGAAGAAAATTAAAAGCTGAAAAAAAAATCAGCATCAAAACTGAACATTTTTTTTCTCCTTTCAGTTTGCTTTGCAGGTTCCTACATGCCCCCCCTCTTTTCCCTCTGCTTCTTGGAAAAGACTGGAGGCAAAACAGTCATAGAAAACTGATAGGCCTGAGGTTTTTCCTTTTTTGCATTGAAAACCTAGGAAGTCCTAAAGAAAAAATTCCCACATGTTTTCCTTATTTTTTGATAATAAGTTTTTCCAGTGAAAATACAACTGACAGCAAGTGTTCCCACCATCTCTTATTGCAGCAGTTTATGAGAAACAAAGAGAAATTTAATATTTGCAAAACGCCCACTGGGTTTTACCTCTTCACTTGGGCATTTTCAAATGAGCTTCCAGTGTCACGCCAAACCCCTGTGAAGAGAGCAAATATTACGTGTGCAAGTTCACACCCCTGAAATTGCAGCGCCTCACATGAAGGAGAAGAATTGGGACTTTTGCAAACCCTCTGTTCCTGACTTGGGAGGTGCTTTCAAAGCAATTCAGGTGCATGAGTCAGACTTACAGTCACGCGTGGACTGACACAGCGCTTATCCGGTCCCAGAACGCCATGGCACGTGAAAGCACGTGATGCTGGCTGCCATCTAAATGGGCCGGTGATAGTCTCCACCGACTCCTTCTCCCTCCTGGTTCCAACTTCCAACGTAACCCAGAAAAGCTCGGTAGCATGTGAATGTTTATTTTGCATGCTACCAGACCAAGTTCCTGTTTACATTGGGATAAAAACATTGCTTTTCTCCTCTGGATGCTTTCTAGCTGCTCGCAGACATGGGCTGGTGTCTATCCTCTTCTACCAATACGGATGCTTTCAGCTTTGCCCTCCATCCATCCATCACTCTTCAGAGGAGAGGAATTGGCTTAACATTGGGCATTATCCAATTGCTGGACCTAGGTAGAGCCCAGAAATCAGGACTTGGGCCTCCATGTGCAAAGGGCTGGCCCAGAACACACTGGAAGCACCCACCTTCCCCGCAGTCAAGGATACTTGTATTAGCCCATTCTGGATCCTCCTTTTGCTGCTCTGCTAGCAGGGCGAGAGCACCTTCTCCACCCAACCCCCAAGGACAAAGGATGAGTAGGAAACCCATGAAGAACCATCCTCCTTCTGTGGAAACAGTCAAGCGTGCATGGGACACGCAAGCATGCATTTCAGTGAAAGGCATCGCCCTCCAGTCTTACCCAAGTGCTGTGCTCACCTGATTGCAAGTGCAAATTTGCACACGCAAGTCTCCCATCTGCACGTGCAATTGCACGTTAGCCTGCAAAGCCGAGTGTGGCCTTTTTTCGACACTGCATCCAAATGCTTAGTGACGTGCCTGGCAGATTGCACCAATGCCAAAGGGACGGGATGGGAAGGAGATAACGGGAACCCACAATTCCATTATTCATTTGGGTAAATTAAGTCAGTTCTCATGGCTTGGTGTTGGCGGGGGAGCTGATAAATGCTGCTTATCCTCGCCTGGATTATTCCAAGCAAAGCCATATTTCAAAATGTTCTAGCAGATTGTCAGCTTGTTCTCGGGAGGCTGAGACCTCCCTCCCCTGCCTGCCAGATCCGTCCATGTGGGATCCAGATGCAGAAGGTATTTGTAGCTTTAATTTGTTTCTGTTGGGAAGAGCTGTGGAAACGGGCTGCCCAAGAAACGGCATCAAATGTAGGTCAGTAAGGCGCAGCGGAGCCCAGCTCCATGTTGACTGAGGACAAGATGCCCAGCACGGAGAGACAGGCCAGCCTTGGTGGCATAGCAGGGGCCCCGGGGATTTGCTTCATATGCTTGCGCCTTCAGAATAAAATGCGTCCCTGGACCGCAGCCATTTCCCTCCTTTGCCTTGCAAACGTCCTGCCCAAAAGCTGCTTTCTCCCAGGGCTGCATAAAACCCCGTCCTTGGAGTTTCTCCTCCTTGGCTTTTCTTTTCCTTGCTTGCAAGGGACTAAGTTTTCAGTGGGAAGTTTCTGATGAGGGTCTACCCCCTCCACATCCGCAGCACTTCCAGCTGAAATGAGCACTGACACAGCTTGTCCAGACTCTCTAGGAGGCAAGGTTGGATGGCCAATGATTTCTGCATGAAAGATGGCATTCAGGATGCCCGCTGGAGGTGGAGATTGAGGGCAGGGATTGAATGCAATATCTCCTACCTGGCTGCTGCATGTCTTCCTAACCACCATGCTGGAGGGAGGGTGTTTTCAAGCTGGTCTCCTGCAGTCCTTCCTCTTGCAGCTCTTTCAATAGGGATAAAAATACTTCAGCCGTCTTTGGTGCACAGCTCTCTAACCTGGTGGGAAGGATTCTCAGCCCAGAGAGGCGACACCGAGGCTGCAGTCCCTGCTCTGCCAATGGCTTATTTGTAAGGAGAGGAACAGTGTTTAGGACAGAGCCCAAGAGCACCGGAGACAAGTGCTGAGGTCTCCCTGGGGGAAGGTGTCAGTGTGGCAGCTGAAAAGTATGTCTGTGTGATAAAAGTGCTTGCTGAAGGCTCTATGAAGATTAGACAAAGTGTTTTTCTGTATTTGTTTAGATATTAAGCTATAAGTTGTTGCTAAAAGGCTAATTATAGTTTAAGATGTAGTGAGGACTTGTATAAAGTAAGGCCTAGTAAATTTAGCAAAGCCTAGAAGTAGTAAGGCCCTGTGGTGCAGTTGAAATTACCTTAACAAAGGAATGCAAGGCTTGTATTTCTACTGGTCAGTCTAAGGACAGTTGAAGAAAAAGGAATCTAAGTGGTCGTACGTTATCAGTGTCCTTCAGAAGCTATAAATTAGCTGTAATATCTGGAAACCATTCAGAAGGAAGATGCAGCTCTGTGAAAAGAATTAGTTAGCTGTTGCCTGGATCAGTGGGCCCGTGGATCTTGAGGAGCCCAAGAACTGTAATGCAGGGTCCTTCCTGGCACCCCTCAGACAGCATTGCTCGGGGACGCCTGACCTCACTGAACTTTGTGGAAAGAGAAGCTTGCTGTGTATCAGGCATCAGAGGGACTGCCAATAAGTTGCCAATGTGAATTGCTTTTGTCTGTCATTGTTTGTCTTGTTAT